ACCTAAGAGTACGTCCCACCTGCCCGCCCCCCCGCCCCCCCGTCCCCCCAAAACACATCAACGCTACATTCGCTCGTCCAATCTTCAACTATTGTAACAACCAACCACCACCAACGACAAAAAGTACAGGCGGAGGCGGTCCAGCTCCTCCAGGAGCTATCCCTCGCCAGCGACGACGCTCTCGCGAGAGTGAGAGACCTTACCAACCTTGTCCCCGCCCTGAGTGCCATCGCTTACCCGGGCATCGGACCTCTGGGCCTCCTGCGGGGCAGGATCGGGAGGTCTCTGGGTAACGTCGGGGGCCTCGCGGGCGGCGGCGGGGGGGGGGGGGACGGGGGGGACGACGGGGGTGCAGGGGATGGCGCCGGGGTGGGGAGGGTTGGCGCGGCGCAGCGGCGGAAGGAGGCTGCCGTGGCGGAGGCCGCTGTGTCCGGGGCATCGAAGGTGTGCATCACGAAAGGACCTGGATGCCTTTGTCGCGTCGTTGTGTTTTGTTCGGGCATTGTTTTCATTTTTTTTCGTGTGTGTTTTGCCCTCTGTTTCGCCTCTCACATTTTTGGGCCCATTTCGCGTTTGTTCTTCACGTTTTTAGCTGGGGATTTTCTTGTCGCTTTTCGGTTCGTACTTTCTCTTTTTTTCTGCGTGTGCGTTGGGGTAACTTCTTTGTGTCTCGTTCGGCTGCACGAGAAAAAAGTATCGAAAACACGGCGTTTTTCGTTCTTTTTTTATTTAGAAAATATATAGAAATAAAATCACACACGACCACTTTGTTGTTTTTTTCTCCTTTCTGTACGGTCGAAACGAAACACCTGGTGTGAGGGCGTGGATATCCTGGCACAATACCCCTTTGCGCAGCAGTGCGCTGTACACTGCTACCCTCTCGTATTTTCTGTGAACTTTTCTCTCGATATATCTCTTTGCTCGCCACTCGCTCACTCGCTCTTTTCCCCTGCTCCGTTCGTTGTCTCTGATTTTTCTTTGTTTTTCTTCCTCTTCACTCTCCGCTGCACGTAAAAGAAACCAAATTTTGTAAATAGAAATATCATTTTTTTTTTTGTCCTTGTTTCCCTCCTTCTCGCGTGGCAGCTGCTGTCCATGCTAGGCGTCCACCACTGGACGCCTCGCCAGCCCGGGCAGAAGGGGCTCCGCATATTGTCGTTGGACGGGGGGGGTACCCGCGGCGTTCTGACCATCGCGCTGCTGCGGGAGGTGCTCAAGGGCTTCGACAAGGACGTACACGAGGTGGGTGACCAACAGACCTACCTTCGTGTCAAAGAATTAGAGAAAAAAAACAAAATTTTGGCACTGCTGCAATGTTGTCGTGTTTCGATTCGTTGTTGATGCGTACGGGAGAATCACTTTAATAGTTCTTCACCTTCGGTGGTTGTGTGCCTTCGTTTTTTGTTTTTCTTTCTTTCTGTCGTCGAGATGTCTTGCCTTTTGCCCCGCGTTCGTTGTGGTCAGTCTCTCGTTATTATTCTGAAGACGTCGTGGTCTTACGGTCCGTGTGTCTGCAGGCAGGTGGCAATACGGGGGGACATCCTAAGATCAACCTATATACCCCACCTCTTCGCTACCCAGAGCCTAATCCATACAATGTCTGCCCCCCCCCCCCCCCGGGAATTTCCCCTTGAGGGCCTTTTTTTTTTTTTGGAAAGGGGTTTCCCAGTTTTTTGGGGACCCCACAGGGGGGATCCCTTGCCTGGTCTTTCCCCCCGAAAAACCATCCCTGGGTTTCCCCAACAACATGTTACAATCCCTTAACCTCCAAAATTTTCAAAAAGGACCCCCCCCCCAAGGCCAACTCCTGGTGGAACAAGGGGGGGGTTTAATTGGTGGGTGGGGGGGGTTTTGTTTTGTTTTGTTTTGGTTTTTGGATTTTTGGTGGGTGGTGTTTAAGGGCC